AAGATGCACAATTCAGAGATCAGCAAGCGACTGGGAACAGAATGGAAACACCTATCAGAATCTGAGAAAAGACCATTCATCGAAGAAGCCAAACGTCTCAGAGCCTTGCACATGAAGGAGCATCCTGATTACAAGTACAAGCCGAGGAGGAAACCCAAAACTTTGCTCAAAAAGGACAGGTTTCCCTTTCCCTTGCCGTACATGTCAACTCCCATAGATTACCTAGGGATGAACTTTCCCAGAAGTTTCTTTCCTGGTGCTCCCACTTCATCAGGACTTCCCATGCCCGGACTTCTTCCTTTCTCTTCTGCGGATTCCATTTTCCAGAGTACACCCACTGCTGTCATCAGCACCACGGCTCCCACAGCAACAGTATCCAGGTTATCCCCGTCTGAAGACAGGACCGATCCAGATGGGAAACTGTCTTCAGCCGGATCCTCCTCGACGAGTGATGCCGGATTATTACATTCCTTCAAACCTCTCAGCAGCACAAGTCCATATTCAACTTATAGTCCGGCAGCCGCAGCTGCAGCAGCGGCCTCGCTTTATTCCGGGTTGTCTCTTCCGGTGTCTCCATACTTCATGCCATGTGGATGTGGACCGTCTGGCCCTTATGGTCTAGGATCGTCAGTCCCAAGAAGTCCGAATGAATCAGCTGTGGTTACATCCTCCGCTGGATCCCTCGTGCTCAATCCTTTCCTCAGAGTATCAGACTGCCATTCTGCGTACCCTTCTACTTCAAGGGACAACCACGGTGATGCACCGACACCCCCCGGACATTCTTTACCTGCTAGTCAATTGCTAGGGCTGTACTCGTGCTTGGGAAGACCGAAACCTCCAGAAAACGGCGACTTGTGAATAACGTAATTGAATCATTTGTTTATAATTGAGTGATTTCGTGTGACCTGTACAAAGGGAAAGACGAGAGGTACTTCCTTCGATAAGCAGACAAATGTTGACATATCACTTCTCAATGGCGTGTCAGCTCTGTCAAAGCAGTAGAAAGTTTCAATGGAGAAGGCCCACATTCTTTGCTTATGTCAGAACCAGATCATTGGTTTGAGGCAGAAATATTGTAGATCAAAATCAACGTATGCAGCTCACACTCCCCTGCTTATCTCAAAATCAGGTAAATTGATCGAGAGAATTATACTGTAGGATTAAAAGACAGTTGCAATGTGATCATGTACAGCTTTTTTACACTGTAAAAAGTTTTTACGCTTGTTAATTTTAATTGAGTGGACATGTTTACTTCATTGAAAATTGCATATTAGTTCTGTTCTTAGCTGGATTGGAGGTATATTCAGTTGAAGTGGTAGTTCCCAATAAATACTTGCCAATGGCCTTTCCACGATATTAATTGAAGCAACAGTCAAACTGCTAAAGAATGTAAAAACAAGGAAACCAAATATAGACATAACCCGGCTAGAGAATCACATCGCAATAAGCAAACATAAAAAGCATCCATCTTCATCGAGTGATCATCATGAAAAACTCAAAAAAAGGGACAGAAAACTGTAATTTAAAGACTTTGAACAAGAGGGAACTTTTAGAACTGTGATCCTGCTTTACTCCTCCCCCCTTATACACCCGTTGATGCTCATATCAAAAGAAACATATAGACAGAAACTGTGTACTTTGTTAATGTGAACTAGTCTATCCGAAATTCATCTCTCTGTGTTTCGAAGATTCATCATGAAAACTGTAAGTGTTTCACTTTCCATTTATTTTCATTTTTTGGCGAGACCTTTTATGTGCAATGGAAACACTGATGACGGTGTTGAATTCTGCCTCTGGGGCAACTGTAGCTATGAAATTAGTTAATTAAAATACACAGTGTTTACTAACCGATTTCGTTTGAATTCTATTTTATCTGTTGTTTCTGTTGCTTTTTTTCAAAAAAAAAATTATATATTATTGATTTTAACTTAATTCAGTCCTTTTTTTTTAAGAAATGAACATGCAAATTTCAAATGGAATCTTTTTTTTTCTTTGAAAAAATGCCTTTCTACTTGATTGTTCCTTTTTTTTAAAGTAAATTTTTGCATTGAAAATTTGTGGTTTTATAATGCTATTGTCATGAGAAATTTCAATTTAAAAATGAAATGCTAGTGTAGTAACATAGAATTTCTGAGTTCACATGTAAATCGGAATATAAAACTGTCTACTTTTATCTGGAAAATTTTATTTAAAAAGAAAAACTTTTATAAACTTGGATTTATTTATATTACTTCAGATTTAAAATAAGAAACGTTATGATTTTCATGATAGAAACAAAATGAGAGAAATGTTTATAATTAATAAAAAAAAATATTTCTTATATTTGTTTATGCATAAAGTATTTTAAATTAATCCCTGATTTTTCCCCCCTTTTGGATTTTGATGCAATACATATATATGTAAATATTGATAACCACACATTAAAAAATTTAGAGTCCTATCAAAATATCTATTTATATTCCTAGTATTTCATATAACAGCTGATCTTTTAAAACATTTCACCTTTAAGATAAGAAAAATGTGATGACAGTTTTATAATTTATTCTTTTGAAACTACCTTGATATTGTTTCATGATTCAAATCCTCTCTTTGAGCTGAATTGTCATGGGAAGGGCTAAAATGTAATGGAAGATTTATTTTTAATAGAATTAAATGAGAACTTTTAATAAATTTGAATATATTGAAGCTAGTGCTTTGTTATTGGAAAGCATAAAAATTATTATCATTGGTAATATTTTTTTTGCCTGTAAATTCTATGTATAAGGAGTGTAGTTTCATACAATATTCTATCTCTCAGATGAGTGAAAAATTAATACTGTTCATAAAAGTTTAATATTGTCATATATATTAAATTTTTGTTCCAAGTTTTTTTAAAAATTATTATGCTTATTGATATAAAAAAATCGTACACTTTTCCATGAAAAAAAATTTTTTTTAAGAAAATCAGTTTTTGATTTGAAGAGTATTCAATTTATAATTTAGTATGCTTAACTTTTTCCCTTTTTTTTTCTAATACATTACCAGTCATGTCAGTATGTGATGTCGAATTCTTAGACTAAATCTTAAAGATACTTCATATACAGAAAAAAAATATCCCATAACATTATAATTTTATGCAAATAATTAATGAATAAATGTGAAATTATTTGGATGCAAATATTTATATGATTAAAATCAATGTAGCTATATATTATTTTTTTTGTAAAAAAAAAAAGAAAAAAGTTAAATAAAAATTATTTTATTTAAAATTAATTTGTTTATTTTAAATTACACTTCGGTACATTATGTTAACTACTAGTAGCAATATCAGTATTAGATATTTTAAGTTAACTAGAATGTCATTCCGAAATTATAGATCTAAGAGCTTGATAACGATTGTATTGCGGTGTCAGTTGATTTGAAATGTAATTTCGTTTTATAAATTGATTTCAATACAAATGATAAAATTACAATTATGTAAGCTTTATTTATAAGTTAATTTTATCATATTCATGAGCAAAAAATATAAAATACTTTTATTTTGTTAGTTGTGTAATATACAAATCATTTCAAATAATACTTAGAATCGATATCAATTGAATTTTTTTTATTTACATCAACTTTTTTTAAAAGATTCAATAATTTTATTGATACATTCTGGTAACTTTATTTAGCGCTTAAAACAAATATTGTAAAAAAATGACGGACAAAATTAATTTTATTGTATCGTTAAGGGATGAATTACAACTTTATTTTTGTTTAAAACAACTGCTGATTTTCATCTTAATTTATTTTAACTGTTTATTTTATTTGGTTCTTCATTTCTGTTTATTTATTCTTTTGTATGCAATGGAAGCAAGAACATTTTTTGATACAACAAGAAAAAAAATCATTAAAAACTGAATATATTTTAATTTGATTTCTTCAGAAAAAAATAATAAATTTAACTTTTTAAAAAAATAGTGTGTTTTGAAGCAAAAATAAATAAATAAATAAATAAATAAAAGAAATAAGACTTGTGTGTGTTTGTGCTTTTGTAAAAAAAATTTTCATTTTTTTTGTATTCAAATTTAAAATTGAATATTTTTTAAAGAAAAACTAATTTAAGCTTACCTTATGACATTGATGCATTGTTACTTTTTCAAGTATTGGACAATAAAAAAAGAATGAACCTAGGATTGCTTTTCAATATAATTTAAATTTGTTCATAAAATATTCTATAAGTTTAACTTCATTTATAGCATTTTTTTTTTTGCCTTACATTTTCTTTTAACAGTACACATAATTTTAATTATGCCTCATATAATAAATTAAGAATACACATTTAATACAAGTGCTTTAATTCTAAAAATAGACCAACTGGAAGTACGGAAATATTAGCTCACTTAATTAAAATCTGCTATTAATACACTTTTGACAATCGGAAAGAATTTGGTTATTAAAAAAATTGTCAAATTGGATTATTCGAGAAATTCCATAATTTATTTCCCGTGTCATTATTCAGCATTGAACGTAACATACAAATTTGAATTCAGATATTCATAAATAAAAATAAAAATTATGCATTTGTATGTTAGTCTCTTTTATCTCCAAAAAGTAGTAATGTATTCTAAACATATTTTTAAACGGTTTTCCATCTTTTTTGAGTCTATTGATAATCATGTAATAATAAATAAGAGAAAAACAAATTGTTCTGTGCTTTAATAAATTCCTTTTTTTATAAGAACAAGCAATAAAAAAAAATTTTTAAGTCAATTCCTACTTCGGCCAATAAAAAAACATTTTATTTTAGTTTTTATTAAATAAATACAATTAATATAACTATGTATATATAGATGACACAGAATCAGAATATTAAGTGACAAAGTAGAAAGTGATTTTCCTAGCAATTTTCCATTTTCCTTTCTATATGTGTGGTGTTGAACTAATTTTGTTTGTTTGTTACTATGTATTCATTCATTAAATTTAATTATTCATAAAAATAGTATAGAAAAAAGAAATCACATCCTCAGAAATTAGGCCATTTCAGGCGGGATTCGAACCCACTACCTTTGGATTAGAAGTCCAAAGCGCTAGCCGTTGCGTTTCAGGGATATAACGAAGGGTTTTCCTTTCTATAAATGATATAGAACTATTATTTTTGTTTGTTATTATTTATTCATTTTTAATTAAATTAATGTATTAATATTTGAAAAAAAACTGCATTGACATCAAAAGTCATCCACTACAAGTTAAAAAAAAATTTTTTTTTCCAACTTGATTGGATGAACAGAAAGTATTTTATATTAAAGAGATTGAAAGTTTTAACAATATATATATATATAATGTTATTCTTAAACTAATTGATATCTATTTAATTTTATAGCTTATTATTTTTCTACCACGAGATAACCAATCAGTTAACACAGAAGGAGTTTTGAAATCGTGATTTTAGTATTTTTCCTTTATATAATACAGTAGTATATATATAATTCTGTAATATTTGTTAATGTATAGTTAGAGAAGAGCCGATGAAAAGAAAATTTATATATAATGCATGGAGTGGTACACGCATTGAAAACAACAAAGGTGACAGATATTAAAACTATTAAGAGGGGATTTGAATGGATATTAAAATTAAGTGTTTAATTAGAAATGAATAAATAAGTATATTAATACTATTTGTTTAGTTAATATAAATAATGGTATTTTTCTCTCTCTCATTGGTACATAATTACATAAAGATCAATAAATGAACGCAAAGAAAAAAATTATAAAATTCCAATATAGTATTTGAAACACGTACCAAATATTCAATGAATTTCAGTCATGAATATTTCATACCATTCATGTGCTTAAGATATTTGTTATTCTTATGATGAATAGTTATAAATCTTTTAGACGCTGAGAATAATCCCACTTAACATTATATATAACTCATATTAATTCATAAATATCTTTTACTAATAGTAGCTATCATGGTCACTGATAATAGAATTCATCAGCTCAGTTTTTTCTCTATTCAAAAAATACTTATTCAGTACCGTTTTGTAGTATACACTTCCACAACCCTATTATATCTGTTATTTAATATGAATCCCCTTTCTGCTCATTTCAAACAGCATAAAAGCTCTTAGATGTATTAGATTTAATAACAAATGTATTGGGCCCTGTGAAATTAAACTAAAATTATTATTTCAAAAATAGTCGTAATTAGTAATAGCAGTTTTCATAATTATATACAATAGAAATAATTAGGTAACTCAGTAATTAAAAGCAATAATTTTTTGGCTGAACTGAAGATCTTGTAATACACCGAATTTTTTTTAAGCGTCCAAATATTACATTTAAAGGTAAATAATATATTTATATGATTTTCAGTAAGTTTAAAATTCCCCCTTTTTCAATGATGCTTTAATCAAAATTAAACTTTAAAAAAAAAAAAAAAACGAGTCTTACAGTAGTCGCATATGATGTGTAACATCTGACTTGTTATCATGGTAAATACGCAATAGTGACTTTAATCCTGAAAGAAATGAATCGGTTATGACTGGAAATAATTTTCTACCGAATAATTATATCTTTAATGAAAATTTTATTTAATTAACGCAAGGAGTAATGCAGTGTTTTATCAAAAATATTTATTATTGTTCAATTTGGGGAGGAGCGGTAATGATAACTTATGATAACTAAAGTATGACATATATACTTGTGATTTCAAAGTATTTAAAAACCGTTGAAAAATAGCGTCAATAAGAGTACCACTGTTAGTTGTCGAAACATTTCGATTAGTGTTCATTTCGAGCTTGAGTTCATCTTTCAGAAAAGCTATGAGTGACTCAGCTTCTGGCAAACCTGAAGTTAACGTTAAAATCACCTCTCAAAATCATGGGAAGCGAGTGATAGTTTTTTTTTTTTAAATAGCAGAACCACCTTTGGTATACTGTAAAAGTACAAAATGCAGGAAATCTTTAATTTTTTTAACTGTTTGATTCGGAGAAATGTATGCGACCACCCAAATGACAAGACTTGTTGGTATGTGCGGTAGGCGGGCGTCTTAATGGCTACTACAGTTGGACCCCCAGACGAGGGTAGCGAAGAGACACCGTCAAGCGCATGCTTAAAAATTAGAAATATTAGAGAAAATCAAAAATAGCCGATTACTTAATTAGTTAGTTTTTTTTAATCGAGAAATATTTTTTTATCACAATTAAAAATATTATATTGACAGTGACAGGAATTAACCTCAAAGTATGAAAATGATAAACACTTAAATATTTATTCAAATAATTCCATATTACTTTCTCCTATTTTTTTAAGAATGATGAGCTTTGTCAGACGCTTACGAGGAAATATAATTATCAATATATAGTTTACACATATATAAATATATCCTCAGATTTCACACGCAACGAGCCCTGAGACTTTGACAATTGAGCGTAAGAATCACAAGTTTATTCTGGATGAAATCTAATAAGACTTGCTGGTATGTGCGGTAGGCGGGCAGTTGGACCCCGAGACGAGGCTAGCGAAGAGACACCCCAAGGTGCTGAATTGGTCAAATCAAGCAGCGCGCTCTTCCCCCGACTTCCTGTTACGCATTTCCGTCCCTTTTCACGAAATCACTCCAACAAATATTCAGCAACCGAGAGTAAAGATGTTACACATCAAAAATAGATATTTAATTTTTGTATAAGCAATATGCTGATTCTGTCAAAACGCCGCAGCTTCAACAAAGAAAGCTAGATATAGAAAAAATATTTGTGTGATTTATTTAAAATTATCTTTTATATCTTACCTCTCTCTTTTAAGAATTCTGTCTTGATAATTTAATTAATTTTAGAACTTGGCGAGTTTGCAGAACAAATGGGGAAAAATTAAACAATGCTCTTCATTTAAGCAATTTTGTTTTTAAAAAATGATGATTTAAAAAAAAAAAAAGTGATTGCCGTGGTAGTTGCTTAGAAATCACCCAGTCGTTAACAAAATAATTTTTCTTACATTTCAGTTCCTACACTGAAGTCATACTACGAAGTCGCTATATCCCGAAAAAAAGTTCATTATGTGGAAAAATTGTTAAATAGATTCATTGTTTAATATTCTTTAGAAATCACATAAAAAAAATTTAAAATTCATAAACACTACATATTATTAAAAAAATAATTATTCACAATTTTTTGGAAAATTAATATCTATTCATTTTATATATTTTATCCATCAAAAAGAAATCTGCAAGGAAAATAAGAAGAGGAAAAAACATTGTCCAAGAATACACTGTATTCTCAACTTCAAAACATAATTTTATATTAGAATTAATCAATTTTTTAATCATATTTTTCTATTTTAAGCCTGCAAGTAATTTTAAACGTACATTATATTTTATAACCACTAATTTTAAACCTTTGGCCCTGTGACGCTCGAACTTAGTTCGGGCTACGCAAAAGCTCCAATTCTGGAATGCCCGAGCTGAGTTCGGGCAATAGAAAAATTAGTTTTTCAATTCCATGAAGCCCGAACTCAGTTCGTGTAATGCCTAGTATGAAATTTACCATTTTTCCAGTACATGACGATACTTTCCCACGAAAATTTCGGTCATTTAGCACCGTTTGTCGGATTTTTGTAATTTTGCAGTTCGTATATTTGTGAAATTCAAAGAAATGTGAAGAAGGAATTCATGAAAGTTAATATAAATAATATGTTGTGTAATAATTTATTATATTTATCTTCAAAATTATATAATTCAATTTGCTATAATTTGACCAACATTTATTAAACATTGCCAATATATGCGAAAAAATGGAATATAATAGTAATTTCACTTAAAAATGATTTTTTTAAAAAAAAAATCTATATTTTTAACATTTTAATAATGATAACAAACAAAATTAAAAAAAAAAATTCCATTTTTGGCACGTATTTTTAAATGTATTCCACAGGCTAAGGACTACCACATGCGCCCTTAAAAATTTAATTACTGGTAAAATCTTTTTTTTTATTTCGATTTTTTGTTTGAAAAATTGCAATTCATAATTACTCTAGGGGAGTTAGGCACCTGGTAAAACCAGTTCAAGGTCTTTGATCATCATAAAATGTGCTACAAGAGTGATTTGAAATGTGCTAATTTGAAAAATATCCTGACATATTTTAAAAGTAGGGAGCATAAAAATTGAATCACTTGAGAAAAAGTTCGTTTTATAGAAAATGCATTTGGAGATCATTTTACAAAGAAAATAGTAAAATGTTCCTGGAGTTCCATGAAAAAGTTAGCGAGATAGAGAAATTCGTAAAATAGAGATTCGTTATATGGAGGTTCGACTGTATTATTTTACTCTTCTGACGAATTTCAATTTCGATCTATAAAGCTGAAATCTCTATTAGTACTTCATTTTTTTGAACTTCTGCAGTGTTACATGACACTTGTTGGCTTAAAATTAACGTCACTGTTTAGCTACATACCTATTAAGGAGGTACCTCAAGCTTCACAGCCTTAGACATCTACAAATTCCATACAATATTAAATGAGAAATTTCGGGCTCAGTTCAAATTCACGAACCTTAACTCTAATAAATACGCATAACGTATTTTTCCGTAATAGGAATCCTAACTTTCGTTCAAGTTGATCTCCCTGCACTCTGAATATCCAGATGAGTCTGGGCCATTGACAGGGACATCTTAAGGATTGAGCCAACTGGGCCCGTGCCACAATGTGGGCCTCGTCTCGTTCTCGATTCAGCCTTAATAAGATCACGATTCGAATAATTTCAACGGTCAAATGTTATTTCCGCTTGTATTCTCCAAAAAACTGGTAATTTCGGACTATATGTCAACTGGCTACATGTGATGACCTTTATCCACGTATAGACTTAGGCCTACCACCATACACCATCATTACTCCTTCAGGTGGCAGTCGGTCTGGTTTGTGTGATTGCAAGTCATGTACATGAATTTGATTCGGGTTATTGTTCGTACGAGTATTTGACAATGAATACTATGCATTGCCTATTTTTATAAGCCGTAGGAGGGGCTTACATTTGTGTAGTTGCCCAGGGCTTACTTTTTCGTAGGGGAACAGATTATACTTTTACGCAAGGGCCCAGAGCCTCAAGAAG